GAGCTGCCGTCGTACTTATGAACCGAGCAGTTGGTTCCAACCTCTTCCAGGCTGGTCTGTGCTGCCTCTGACCTCTTGGTCTCCACGTTATTCTACCTGTTGTCCTTCTTCCACCCAAAAGGAAATCACTCGCATGCAAGCAGAGATGCACTGTTGCTTCCTAACCCCTGAAATGCTGGGGTCCACCGGCCCCTTCCTCATGCCCGTGTTATGGAGCAGCTCCTGAGGGAGAAGCCAATGGCAGGGACTGTGCCAAGTCCCTCCTTAAGGATCCATTGAGCTCACGTTGGTCAGAGTGGCCAGCTCTGTCCCCTCATCTTCGATCCTAACCTCCACCCTGGTTCTGTGGAATTAGAACACGGCATTTCCACAAAATGCTTCTGTTTGCCAAAGAAAAAAAGAACATTTTCACCTGAAAAACATTCCCAACCAGCTGAACTCGGTACCTGCTTACATCAGCCTATGCAGGACAAAGCCCTCCTCCCATCTTAGGGGCTTCCCAGACCTCCTCTAACTAGTTTCCTCATCAGGAAGGTTCACTGTTTTGCTACGAAGGGTTGACAACCCATGAAATTCTGAACATGCCCTGATGTGGGGCTTTTTTTCTGCGGTCTAATAGCAACTTTCAGTCTCACCCAGATGTACTCTGGGTGAGGAAAACTCCGTCTGATCTCTGTGTACCATAGATCATGTATGTGGAATCATATTCCTGCTCCCACTTTGAAGTGTCTGTATAATTAGTACAACATATTCTTGCAGGCAAGGTGCTCTCCAAGCTGGGGAACCTCAGAATTAAAGTAGCATGAGCCTTCCGTAGAATACCAGCGTGTCACTTTTTTTCTGCCATTAATAGCTTTTTGACACTTCCCTTCCTTTTGTTCCCTCCTCTGAATCTCTTACTGCCTTCACCGGCCACAGAAAAAGGTTATCGTTACTCCCTGTGACGGAAGGTGGCAGAAAATGAAAGTCTGTGGGATGAAAGGCATTTTTATTAGTGTCTGAAATGCGATCTCAGTCCCATTTTCTGAGTGACTTAGGGCCCTACTTATGCAGGTATTTAGGCAGCTAGCGATCACGATCTACTATTTCAATCCGATGTGTGTATGTCTATCTACTTTATCTGGACAGCTATTAAATCTAAGTACTGTATTTATTAGTGTGTTACTGCACTGTCCTCCGTACTGGTGTGCAGGAGTAATTTAGCAGTAATAAGTACGTTACTGTACTTATTTATCTGCCCTCTGCTCTGTCGATGTGGCTGATGACTAGTTTATGTTTGGCAGTGATGAGAAGAAACTAGATGTTTTCTCTGAGACACCTGAGGATTTTAGTCATTTAGGCTTTCTATTTTGAGCTGATTAAAATGGTCCTGCAAGACTGCAGAGGTATTTCCCTAAGTACTAGAATTTATTGTTGCCATTTACCATTTGGGCTGACAGGAGGTGGACGTGGGTTGTGGGGGCTGGCAGGTTCCTGCATCAGTTGTGCTCAAAGGACTAAAGCTTGGGTCTGTTTGTGAATTGTCTTCATGGTTTGAAAACGTTACTCCTCGGTGCAGTCTCTGTGACACGGGTCTGAGGGAGGACGGCTCCACTTGCACTACTTTCACCACCTGAAAGGCAGGATTTGAGTGAGCTCTCCAAGTTCCCTTGTGGTCCGTAGAGGGAAACGAGACCATCCAGAAAGGTGCAGCCGTGTCATCTATCTCAGAGGCTTCTCCAAATGGGACAGACACCATCACCTGCTTCACTGAGTGTTGTGGATGGGAGGAACAACACGTGGACATTCTGTGCTTGCTCCAACAGCTATAGAAGAAGACCAGGCAGTCAATTCTACATGAATAACTTTTGGGATGCAATTTAAATCTCTCTTAAAAATCCCCAACAACAAAAAGCCAGGTTGACCATGTGGCTATTTGAATAGCCTCTGAGGCCTTCCAGTTCCCGGTAGATTCTGTGATAACCCCTCTGGGTGGTGAGGATGTTGGTTGAACCTGTGGTCCTTTTGGTCTGTGCATGGTGGGAATGGCTTCGCTGTTTCTTTCAAAGGATCAGAGCAGAAGCTACCCAGGCACACCCAAGAGCAGTGCCAAGTCAGGGCAGGGAAGAGGAAGGTCTCACAGGAAGCCCCCTTCATCCGCAGAACGCATGACCACCTCTCTGGATGCGTCGCTGCTTCTGTAGCCAGCTCGACAGGTTCAGGTGTGGCTTGGTCTGTTGTGCCAAGGCTGAGCTGGTGCCAGCGACGATCACAACAGCAGCCTACACGCTGTGCTCCGGATTATGTGGCACGTGGGGTAGGTTGGCTGCTCTTCTCCTGCAGGGTTTGCAGGAGGCCTTCTCAAGCAGGACGCGGATGCCTCAGAGATCACTGAAGGATGAACAGATCTGTATGAAATGCCACCTGGTTTGCTTCCCGCAGCGTGTCGATGTATGTATTTAGGGAAGTGATTTTTGGATAGACACCTCTCTGACCATTGTTCCACACGGAGCTGGCTCGTTTGGCCTGTGGGTGTTCCCTCCCCTAGGTCATAACACTTCCTTCCAAGATCTATGTGGATGATCTAAAGTATTGCCTGGTGCAGCGTGTGTTGGAATGAGCCACTCTCAAAATTAAGAGAGTGGGGATGAAGAGGAATTGCACCCAAAGTAGTCATTCACAAGCTCCACAGGCAGGTGAACGACAGCAACCCTTTAGAAACTCTTATGCGTGTTGCCGAGGAATCGTTAGTTAAGGCAAGGAAAAGGGACGTTTTAGCTTGGACCTCACAAGGCAAATCACGGGGCACATCCATGGAGTCTCACCTCCTCCTGATGGGAAGTCATATATTGTCCTCCTAATCTTTACCTGAGCCTGGTAACAGCTCCAAGATCACACATGAATTTCAGTCTTAGCGTCGTTCAAATGCAGTTTGTCCTACACAGAATTTTGCAGGGAGTGGATACAGCTCTGAAAGCACCTCTCAGCTCGACTGAACGTTGGTTTCTCTTGAGATGCACCAGAGTCTAGGAAATATTGAGCCCAACTGAAACAGAACAGGAAAGGTTTTTTTTGTAATATTCTAATGGTTTGGCAAACCTTACCCAGATGCGTTGAAATGGATCTGTTTCCAGATTCCCCCTCCCCCTCACTTGTAAAATCATGATCATTGCACGTTTTTTCTGTTCACCATAATTATTCTTTCCGGTGGGATACAGGATTCTCAATCCAAGCCACATTTTAATAAAGGTATATAAAAAGGGGAGATCCAGTGGGAAATTTGGTTGAAATTCTCAGGAAAACGTAGGTAACTAGTAAAGTTTAATTACAAAAAGTAGCACAAATGGAAGGTCTGGGATAGCAGTTGGCCATTGCTATGACAGACCA